GAGATCATAGTAGCTTCTCCTGGGGTAGGTGGCTGAATGGTAGACCACTGGCTGAGTAAGTCCCCACAGCTGTTCCCCCATTTGTTGCCAAGGGCCAGCTGAGTGGGTGATTTGCAGCAGCAACAACAGCTCTTACTGTGGCCCAACCCAACTACAGCATGAGAAGCACCACTTTGGAGCCCAGTCCTTGCCCTCAGAGAGAAAATCGAAGGTAGTGGAGAGCAGGGGTGGGCAACCTGCAGCCTCAGGGCTGCAAAAGCCCTTTTTTGCAGCCATCTCTCTGTGATGGAAAACTAAAATCCTGCCAAATTGAGGTGGGCAACAGCTGAAAATTGTATTGTGAACTCTGCAGTAGGCAAATCAGACTTTTTAAAACTCCCAAACCATTGTGCTTGCTTCCCGCACCTGTTTGTTGTCTTCCAGATGTGAACGTGATGCTTTGCCACCAAAGGTTGTCCTAGTTTACGTTCTTTCTCTGTGGCTTCCCTCTCTTTGGATGCCAGTTAGAGCTGTTAGTAATTCTTCATGTTGGGAGAGGAGATTAGCAACTAAGGAAGGGTTTGGATCCAGCTTGTGGACTGGGTGGCTCCAGCATCAGAAGCGTCCCTGCCCAGATTGAAGAATCTCAATCAGTCATGCTTCATTTTGATCAGTGATCAGAATTCCAGAAGAGAGAGAGCTTGTAATTGCTTTGAAACTTTTAAAAACCATCCCAAAACATCAGGAAATGCAATCTGGGCATAACAGTATCCAGAACCACATTTTTTTCTGTTGCTCAACCTCAGGCACTTCCAGTAACCTGCAAGGTCTCATGGTGGCGATCAACAAGAATCTTGCAACCTTCTTGGAAATCTTAGAGCTCTAGAACAGAAAGGGGATCCAGAAGATCTCGTTAGCAGAGGGAGGTCTGTGCACAAGCTGAAATAAAAAAGAGCAAGGCAACAATAAAAACATCTTAGTTCCTTCAGCATGGATAGGTGTGTCATCATCGTCTCCCTCCTGAAAGTGCTGAGGTTGAGCTACTGAAATGGGTGGGGGAAGAAAGCTTTGCATTGGTCCTGAACACCCAGGATCTAGATCAGTGTTTCTCAACCTTGGCCACTTGAAGTTATGTGGACTTCAACTCCCAAAATTCCCCAGCCAGCATTCTGGGAATTCTGGGAGTTGAAGTCCACACAGCTTCAAGTTGCCACGGTTGAGAAACACTGATCTAAGGGTTAGGCCTGAGTCTTTTTGTTAGCCCATATCAGACACTTGCTGTTTCATTTCTGCTTTTGCCCTATCAAATCCCAGGGCCACCAAATGTAGACTTGAAAAGCCACGCGGTTGATTTACTGTCTGGCTGCCTTTTCCCAGGCCGTTGTAATATTTTTCGAAAATCAAAGCAAGGCAAAATAATATGACATTCTTTTCCCTTAGCCTTTATTATTACTACACACACATTTTTATAGTAATTTTATTAAAGATTACAATTACAGCAGTAAAAACGAATACAAACTGAAAAAATAGAAGAATAAAAAGAAAGTAGAAGATGCAGAAAAGGAAAAAAGGAGAAAATAAAAAGTGAAATAGAAAAGTAAGAAAAAATAAGAATATAATAAAGAAAAAGAAAAGAGATATATAAAGATGTGACTTCTCACCTTCATCAAAACAAGTATTAACAATTTTAGTGACTTTTCACCTCTTAATTTACAACCAATGATCTCTTCTTTCCATATCCCATCTCTTATCTATAAACAAATCCATAAAGGGTTGTCATTTCAGTCCTGGTGTCAGCAAATATCTATTAAGGGTTACCAGAGATTATAACATATCTATTTTAACCTTGATCAAGTAAACCAACTTTATATTCCTTCCTTTTACTTCTAACAATCTTAATCTTTAGTCCCTTCAAATAATGTTGTAGAACTTGATTTCTTTTCATTTGTTCTTTGTCCCTTCTCACAAAAGTCTTCAAAACTTTAACAAGCCTCTTCTGTAAATCCAGTATAGGAAAATTATCCAGGTCACTCGCTTGGTTTGTTATTTGTATATCCCTTTTAATTATTAAGATATCATCTGGTCTCATTTGCATGTACATCTTTTTCTGTATAAAAGTTTTTAAAAAGGAAGATAAAAACTAACACAAACTAAAACATGGAGAAAAGAAAAAGAAATCAAAGAGAAAGCTAAAAGGAGAAAAAAGTAAATGTCATTCTTGTAGAAATCCACTTTCAACTCAGTCTCGCTGTTGTCAGGTAGAACTTGCTTCTCTTCCATAACATCTTTTAGACACAGTCTCTTCATAGAGTCAAGACACTTTTAAAATTAACTTCTGGGTCCATTGTTCAAAAATATCCTTCAATGTGTCCAGTGTTAAAATATTTCGTTTATTTTGTAATTATAAATCGAGTTTAAGTGTTCTTTTCCTCTAATTGTAATCTTTAGTTCCCTCTAGTGTCCAGTTTTTAAAATCTTATCATACTATATTTCAAAACAAAAGCATTTTCCCACGGGAAGGATTCTTTATAATTAATTCCAAAATCTTATT